GATGTACCAGCACCCGTTGCGCTTTCTTTAGCCTACGTCGAGCCCTGCGATTCAGACCTGTTGTTTGGGCATCGTTGGTTTCAGGGTTCACCTGCAAAGGAGCGACCTGCTGAAGGATGTCGTGAGGCACCTCCGGGAAGATCTTCTTAGCGTACGCAGCCAGAACGACTGACTCTTTCTTGGCATCTCCCCTACAGGCATTTAGAGCCTCCTTCAAAGACCCTTGGATCTCAAAATCCGGACTCTCACTTAACTGCATAGCCTTGACTCTCAGTTCCCTGACTCTGATCTTGTCCTCCAATTCCAGAATCAAGTCCATCAGCAACTCTTGAGCGATCATAGGACAACCCTTGACCAAGGTAACCGGAAGCTCACCTCTCGTAGGGTGAGTCAGGCGAATCCCCTCTGTTGACCACTCTAAAACCATACCCAGACACTCAATCGCGGGTCCTAGAGGCAGTATCGGAGTGACCCTATGCGCAGTGAGCAGGGTGCCTTGCTCATTCATCCGAAGCTCAGTTTGTCCAGCAGCCAACTCCACTTTTACTACACTAGCCTGCTGAAGCTCCTTGGCAGATCCTTGACGAAGCGCGTTAGTAGCCCCGCCATCGATTAGTCCCAAGGTGTTTTCTTCCGCTTTCAGAAATCTCACAGACACGCACGGTTGCCCTTGGCTCCCCGCAGATTCCACTACCCGCAACGATGGGCTTGGATCTTCACGAGTAACCCCTAGCTCCCACGCAGTCTCTAGTTCATCGACCAGAGCTCGGGCATCTGCTACTCCTAGGACCATCCTGCCATGAACAGTCCTTACACCCAAAAGCCCTCTTAGTGGATGCTTGACAAGTGGTCCCTGAAAATCCCAACGGACTTCACATCCTAGGACCTCAACCACCTTTCCCAGAGGGATTACCGCAGGCTTCGTGTCCATGGAAAGCAAGGACCCCTTTGATGACATTCGCCCTACAGATAGACCTACCGGAAGCATAATGTCACAGGCCACTGCAGATTGATACTCTCTGACTTGCGCATATCGGTACACATGAGTCGCGCCTGAATCCAAGAAAGCTTCTGCAACTGAAATACGCTCATCTTCACCAACAACAACCTCTACACCAAACGTACAGAACCTAGGAACATCCTTTTCAAACCCTGGAAGCTTCAATTCACGGAAATCACCCATGTCGGCTCCATCCGGCTCTAGCCGATCCCTGCTCTCGCTGGCCCCATCTGGCTCTAGCCAGCTCAGGCGATTGGCCCCTTCCGGCTCTAGCCAATCTGGATGAACGGTCCCTTGCGGCTCTAACCGAACATCTGCCCTTGAGCGAGTCCATTTCGGAACCCCGCCCTCACTACTTCTAGGTGATTCCTGTAAATTCGAAGCAACCTCCCCAATTCCCCCCGGACCACAACTGACCTTCAAATCCGAAGTTGAAGCACCACACGAAACCGGACCAAACGAAACCGGACTCCCCCCATCCTGCAAGGATGCCACTCCGGGCCCCTGAAGACATGCCAAACGAATCCCTTTCAAGACCCGACCAGCTTCTTGCTCTGCGGATGTCCCTGCAGCTGCGGAGGTGTTTCCGCTATGTGTAGATGCGTTTGTAGCAACTTCGGCGATGACAGGTCCTGGGGTTTCTACTGTAGCCGCTGCAATGTTCGGCTTGCCTCCTTTTGGAGGCCCACCCTTGTTACCCTTGTTGCCCTTACCGCCCTTGCCTCCCTTATCCCCTTTCTTGAACTGAGGACCTTGAAGAGTAGGGCATTCAGGACGACGATGATTCGTTGCGGGATCTGTGGCTCCGCAAGCATAACATACTTGTTGCCGAGCAGCTTCTGCAAAGTCGTGCAGGTTTCTACAATTATCCCCAAAAGCACACCCGCGCGGCGTTAGGTACCCCTTGCACGTCGGCTTATTTTCCTGCCCTTCCCTTGTACCCCCGGAACCCCCGGAACCCCCTTGGTCTTTACCCTTCGGCTTCCCTTTAGGCTTCCCTTTTGGAGATCCTTTCCTAGGGTTGTTTGGGGCGTTTGGGCTTGCTACATCATCAGTCTCAGTGGCCTTTGCTACGCGTGGCTTCTTGGGATCTGACTCCAACCCATACTCGAGAAGCTCCGCTTCGGCCTGAACATGCTTCAAGTACGAAAGGACTGACTCCAGCGTGGGTGCATGGTCTAGGCTGCTCTGTACCCTGACAAAGGACAGTCTAAAGCTGGCTTGCGTGTAGCTCTTGAGAACTCCCGCCATCAACGAGTCGATTCCCTTGAGAAGAAGAGACGGATCAGGCATCGAAATACCCAACTGCCTCCCCCGGGAGGCCCACCGTGACCATCGTCTTAACTTTAAGTTCGCATCCGAAGGACTACTAGCCACACCTGGGTTGTGTAGATAAGAGAGGATAAGTTGTCGCTCTTTGGCCCCGCCAGGCTGACCCTTAATCAACACCCTGAATAGCACGCCAACCGTTGTCAGATCCCCTTGCGATATGAGTTCTTCAGAGAGATCCTTAGGCAAAGCCTTGATGAGCATCGAAACCGTCCTCTGCTCCAACCGCATGTAGCGTGGTTCCTGCAGATTCTCGGGGAGCGCTCCTTTCAGCGCCGCTCTTTCAAGCGGCGGGGACTGAAGCCACACTTTGTAGCGTCGGTCTGCTTCTGCTGCAACCAAACCCCACCAAGTCGACGCTGCCGGCGCCAAGTCCGAGATAAGTGGAGCAATTAGCGTTAGCCAATCCCCTACTGCTAGCGGTCCCTCTTCTGGAGTTATTTCAAGAGTTGGTAACATGATTTCACGGCTTCTATCTGGAGCATACGCCCTAGCATCATCATGCGCTCTCATGTCCGGCATAGACTCCATCAAAGGGCGTGGGTACATACTCAGAACAGGCACAGAAGCTCCTGGCACAAATGCTTGCTGGCTACTACTTGCGGTCATTTCCTGATGCACAAAAGGAACGTGTGCTGGGGGGCTTGGAGGCGGTGTTGTTTGGGGTGGCCGAGGCGGAGGAGACGGCGGCCTGTACGCTGGCCTACTGCAACCGAAATCCAAACCTCTATCAACCCTTCCCTTGACTGTAGCTCTACCCCCTTCAAAGCCCACTTCATACTCTACATCCCCTATCCACACCGTAAGCTCCTGGGCCGGAGCGGTCCTTTGTGCCACAGTCGGCACGGGATCTGGCGGAATGCTGGGACCTACTTGGCCTTGCAGAGAGGAATTGATTGGGGCCTGGAGGGGAGCAGGGCTTCGAGGTTCAGGATTCCCTTTTCCTATCCCCTTATCACCCCTACTTTGTCCCCACAGGTCCAAGGAGCCATCGCTCGCGCTCTCCCTACTTCTGAGGCCTACTCCAGCATCAATTTCCCATAAGTGCATCAAGGGTCTTTGGAATGTCGAGGTTAAAGGGGCATGAGGTTGGCTACCAAAACTGTCAGGTGACCCGATAAAGTGTTGTTCTACCGGCCTAGTTGCTATCGGGGAGCTCGCTTGCGACGTTCTGTCATGTAGAGGGATGGGATAGGCTTCTACTGGATGCTCTGGCGTCGCTAGTTCCCTACCATCAAGGCCTGGAGCTACAGGCGGATTCCTAGGAGCAGATGGATCCATTTCCAAAGCACCAAAATGTGCCCTTAAGGCTTCCATATCTACCCTACCTAGGCTGTAAGTGTTTCTAGATCCACCTGATCCCACACTCCGCGCTTCTTCAAGGCTCTGCAGCCTTGCATGGACACCCTGCAGAAGACCCTGCATCTGGCTCATGCCCTCTACAAGTTGTGCAAGTTCGCTACCTGAATGCCGGCTTTGCCCGCTATGCGACATCGGATCCCTGTACAGCAAACCTTCTACACCACGCACCCCTAAACCGCGAGACCCAACCTGTGCCAGGTCCTGCGCCGCAAGAGCTCCCTGAGTCTGAGGGGTCTCCCGCACTGCCAGAGGCCCTGTCCCAACGCAGGCCCCTGCCAGTGGGAGAGGACTCATCCTCTCTTCAGGCCCTTGCTGCGCACGACCAGCAACTGCCAAGTTCTGCTCATCACTTCTGGTTCCCAAGCCAACTGATCTCAAAGAACTTCGTAGTGCCTCCAACGCGTTCCAACTTGACTGACCTCCCCGTGGATCGCTGGTCGGATCAAGAGATCCTCGTCGTGACGCGTCTGGATCAAGAGATCCTGGTCCTGGGGACCCTGAAATTGTCTGTCTTAAAGACGTGGCGGTCTCATCGTTGTCCCGATCAAGAGATCGTTGCCTATGTATCTGCATATTGTCACCATCGTTCTGATCAAGAGATCTCATCGTTCTATTGCGTTCTCGAGCGTCATTAACCGAAATCTCCTCCTGTTGCTGAGCCGCTTCCCAGGCCTCATTCAAGCTGAAGTGCTGCGCGTTCTCGGAGTTGCTCGGCCCTTGCCCTCTCGGCCCTTGCCCTGTGCTGGCCTCTGACCTTCCAAGTTGTAGCGCTTCACCACCTTGTATCTGCTGGGATGTATCATAGCTCGGCTCAAGAGAAGTCTCATCCACACGCACTTCTCGCGATATCTCTGCTGGTGTAGCAGGCGGCGAGGCCATCCTCGAAGCTGTGCCCATTGACGAAGGGGTCTGGCCTGTCTGGCCCGCGGGAGATCTTCCTCTCCTCATGCTCAAGTCCATGGCTCACAGCAGCGACTCTCGGATGTCTCTCGTTTAGAATAAGATTTGCAAAGGCTAGACCAACCAGGAAATTAATCTAAGCGCTAAGCCCTAGAGCCCTTGGGCTCATAACCTAAGGAAACCAACCCTTAGATTAGAGGTTAGGGTTTAGGGTTAATGCTGCCAAGACACCTGTGAACTCGCACAAGTCAAATCGCCCTTTTCAGATACTGCACTTGATCATAGCTAAAAGGCCTGCAGAAGGGATATGATGCTTCATCATCAAGACCCTAAACCCCAAACCCCAAACCCTAAACCCTAAACCCTAAACCCTAAACCCTAAACCCCCCAAACGCCCCCCCGGCTTCAGGCGGACCTGCCCAAGCCCAGCAATCGGCCTCTGGGAGGACCTCCTCTGGCCGGATTCTCAGGGGCCCAAGGCTTGAAGTGTAAGTTGTGAGTTTAGGGGTTTAGGGGTTTAGGGTTTAGGGTTTAGGGTTTAGAGGTGTAAGTTGTAGTACTAACCCAAAAAATAGAGTAATCAGGATAATAGTACTAACAATAGTATAAGAATCATAAGAATCGTAACACTAATTAAAGATAAAATCATAAGAAGAAGAAGCAGCATCACAATGTTAAGTACATGTACAGTAACAATTATTAGACTGATGATAGTAGTTGCTTACTTGTATTCATATTCATGGTGAGGATTCGTTAGAGGTGTAAGGTGTTAACTATTTGCTTATATATGTTTCGTTATGATGGTTCTATTGCTTGTATATGTTTCGTTATGATTGGTTGATGAGATGAGATGAGTACTTTTTGTCAATGTCTGCTCTCTCTCTCTCTCTGTTTCATGTTTGGGTTGTTTTCTGGCTTGGTGTTTAGGATTTAGGATTTAGGGTTTAGAGTCCAGTTTTTGGCCGGGTTCCGCCCCCGGCATAGCTCTGCTTCCGAGGTTCTTGATGCTATTGGGCTTGGGTTTTCGGGTTGGGGTCTAAACTCTTAACTTTTATATATACATATAATATAAATAAATATATATATATATGTATCTGTATGTATCTGTATGTATCTATGTATGTATGTATGTATGTATGTATGTATGTATGTATGTATGTATGTATGTATGTATGTATGTATGTATGTGTGTATGTGTGTGTGTGTGTGTGTTTAAGTTGTTGCTTTGTTTTTTTTGGGGGATGGTTCCGTTGTTTTCGTTCTATGGTTTTTGGGGTACTTGGGCTCAGTTGGTTTGTAGGGGGAACTCTGAAAAGGACAGAAAAGAGAAATAAGGAAGTGAAGCATCCACGACCGTCCGCGCGACCGGTCCCTGCGTGGGTTCGAGGCGATCCACCAAGGACAAGCACGCGGGAGAAGAATGCTTTAGGGTTTAGGGTTAGGATTTAGGGTTTAGGGTTTAGGGTTTAGGGTTTAGGGTTTAGGGTTTAGGGTTTAGGGTTCGAAGGTGCGAAGCGACTCCTGAGGACAAGACGCTGAGAGGAGATCAGGTGCGAGGGGCTGCAGTCCTCAGCTCCAGGCGAATGAAGGTCCTCTGCGCCTCTTCGATGGAATCGTTGGCCGTTCGACCAGGATGAGTTTATTTCTCATATCGATATGCCATGATATGTCTTTATATGAGTATATATATATATATATATATATATATTTGGTATGATCTTATTTGCTTATGTGTGTTTTGTTTGGTTCATTTCTTTGGGGTGGGGGTTTGAATTTGGGGCGCTTGGACCTTTTTGGATTTGTAGGGATTTAGGGTCTAGGGTTCAGTGTTTAGTGTTTAGGGTTTAGGGTTTAGGGTCAGGGTTGGTTCTTGTGTGTGGGTGTCTACATGTGGCTGGCCAAAGGCCGGGCAATGCCAGGGTGTACAGTAGGGACCCAAAACCCAAAACCCAAAACCCTAAACCCAAAGCCCTAAACCCTAAACCCTAAACCCAAAGCGCTAAACCCTAAACCCTAATTTGCGGGGTTTATGATGGGTTGCGTCGTCTTCCGGCAATGCTGGACTTGGCCTTTCGAAAGCGCCTTGCTTCTTACGTACAGCGCTCCGAGGCTGAGAGTACTAGGCAATTTTTCTTTTAGGGTTTACGGTTTAGGGTTTAGGGTTTAAGGTTTAGGGTTTAGGGTTTAGGGCTGTGTTGCACGGGATTGGGATTTAGGGTTTAGGGTTTTGGGTTAGGGTTTCGGGTTCCAGCCGGCCCTGAACGACATTACCCTAAGCCCTAAGCCCTAAACTCTAAACCCTAAACCCTAAACCGACAGTAGGGGTACTTTGCGTCTAGAAGCAGTGCTCAAGGAGACGCAGCTTGCAGCAGGTAAATTCGCAGTTCTGAACAGAGCAATCCTAAGGCCTATAAACCCCTACTGAACCTATAAACCCAATAAACCCTATAAACCCTATAAACCCTATAAACCCTATAAACCCTATAAACCCTATAAACCCTATAAACCCTACAAACCCTTTCAACCCTATAAACCCTATAAAACCTATAAACCCTATAAACCCTATACACCATATAACCCTAAACCCTACAAACCCCAAACCTGTGTTGGGCTTTGGCGACGTGGCTTCCCCGGCAGGTCGTCGGGAGAGGTAGCTGCGGTGGAGATGTGAGCGTCGCCGCATATGAGGGCCACTGACAGGGGGAATAGCTCACAAAGAACTGAAGCCCAAGCCTACGTAGCGAAGCATGAAGGGATCTACGGCACCCCGCAGTCCCTACAAGCCCTATATAGAGTCATCAAACCGCCTCTCAGCGTGTCGTGTTGTTGGGTTCCGTATGAGGTCCGTTAAGGGTTCTTCCGCGGACCCGGACCAATGCCCAGGTCTTCTGTGTGAAGAACTCAAGAACCCCCGAATACCTACAAGGCCCTCAGAGATACGATGGCCTGGTGTTGCTCCAGGTGGTGGATCCGTCGCGAGTACTCTAAGGTTTGGGCCCTAAACCCTAAACCCTAAACCCTAAACCCTAAGCCCCAATCCCTCAGCCCTGCAGCCTCGCCCTGTCAGCCCCTTGAGACCCCTACTGGGAGGTTCAGGGTACTTCTACCCCAATTAAAACTGCAGACTTATAAGCCCCCTAAGTCCTCTAAGTAGGTTATAAGTGACTAGGTAGGCCCTTGGGACATTTTATCTTTTCCCTTATTGGGTTTAAGAGGGTCATATTCAGGAATATTTTTCAGAGGGTTTTAAGGGCCATCCTAGGTGACTTTGTACTGGGATAAGTTCCTCTTAGCCTCCAAGTAAAAGTCTCCTAAAGTCCAGAGCGCCTGGCTGGTGAGTTGGGGTTTCGGGCTTAGTTCTGCGACCGGCAGAGGCATCAACCCCTAACAGCCTCTCCCCCCCCCCCCCCCCCCCCCCCCCCCAAAGACCCCGAAACCCCAGTCCCCGAAACCCTAAACCCTTCCCCCCCCCCGCCCTAAACCCTAAACCCTAAACCCTAAACCCTAAACCCTAAACCCTAAACCCTAAACCCTATCCCCAGAAGCTGGCGAGTCCCGGGTTCAAGGAGATAAGGGCTCGAGAGGTCATCAGGCGACCCCACCGACTGCAGCTGGAGAGCGCTTCACGCCACGAGCACAAAAGCAAGTGCTTAGTGGTTAGGTTTAGGGTTTCGGGTTGAGGGTTGAGGGTTTAGGGTTTCGGGTTTCGGGTTTAGGGTTGGGGGTTGAGGGTTGAGGGTTGAGGGTTTAGGGTTTAGGGTCTGTGGGCTGGGGGTTAACTTGAGCGCTGCGGGCTTGAGGTTTTTGTGGGTTTGACGGTTACGTTTAGGGTTAGGGGCTTTGTGGGTTTAGTGGTTGGGTTTAGGGTTTAGGGTTTAGGGTTTAGGGTTTAGGGTTTAGGGTTTAGGGTTTAGGGTTTAGGGTTTAGGGTTTAGGGTTTAGGTTTTAGGGTTTGTGGGCTTTGGTGCCACAGTTGGTGGGGGTCTTTCTGGCCTGGGAGATTTAGGTTTCGGGGTTGGATGTCCAGGGCTGAGATGAAATGCGATGCTTAGTAGCGTCGTGTTGGTGACTGACGAGACCAGATCCTGACCTTAGACCCTCCACCCTATAACCCTTGGTGTAGCTGCAGGCACCATGCGACGGACCCTAATAGCCTAAACCCTAACCCTAAGCCCTAAACCCTAAACCCCTGAACCCCTAAAGATCTGCAGGAGATGGCCAAAGATCGGCAAACCCCGGACCACCAGTGCCGCTTGTCCGCCTAGGGTTTAGGGCCTCGGGTTTAGGGTTTAGGGTTTAGGGTAGCAGTTGGGATTTCAGTTTCTAGGTGCGGGGTTGCCTCATATACCCATATTCAAAGTTCAAAAACCCCCCAAAATCCCCCAAACCCTTAAGCCCCTAAGCTCCCAAGCCCCTAAAACCTAAGCCCCCAAGCCCCTAAACTAAACCTCTAAACCCCGAAACCCTTAACCCTAAACCCTAAACCCTAATCCCGAAGCCCCTAAGCTCCTAAGCCCCTAAAACCTAAACCCCTCTGTCAAGGAAAAGGAGGTCCCCCGAAGCCGCCCCTCCCCGAGTCGACTCCAGGAAGCGCCAGAGGGAACCTAAACCCTAAACCCTAAACCCTAAACCCTAAACTTGGCCCTAAACCCTAAACCCGAAACCTAAACCCTAAACCCTAAACCCTAAACCCTAAACCCTAAACCAGAAGAATGGTTTGAAAGGGAGGTGGAGGCGAGAACAGAGAAGCTGCCGGGGGGAGCTGGAGGATGCAAAGCGGGAGCACGCCAAGCTGCGGGAAGAGGCGAAGTTGCCCGCAAGCTGCGGGACAAGCGGCTTAGGGTTTAGGGTTTAGGGTTTAGGGTTTAGGGTTTAGGGGTTAGGAGTTAGGGGTTAGGGGTTAGGGGTTTAGGGTTTAGGGACAAGCTTCGCGATGAGAAGGAGGCCGCAGAGGCCCGGTCTGTCATGCATGGATGAAAGCATTATGACAGTCGTACACCCTACTTGTTCTACACCCTAAGTAGATTCCATGACAGGATTGAAGCCCAGAACTGTCAAGACCCTCAAGCCGAACCCCTTACAAGTGTAAACCCTAACCCTAAACCCTAAACCCTAAACCCTAAACCCTAAACCCTAAACCCTAAACCCTAAACCCCTCGCCCACCCCACCCATCCACCCTCCAGGGTTTGGGCATGAAGCGAACAAAGATCCCCCCTCAAAAATGCGCTCCAAAGCCTTGAAATAGCCTGGAGCTTTTGGGTACCAAGGGAACACAGATCCCCCTCAAACAAGCGCTCAGAAGCCCTGAACAGAGTGGGCCCTTATTTCCTTTTTTTGGGCTTTGGCTCCCTGATAAGATAAGGCCCTTTAAACCCACAAAAAGTGCACCCTTTTTCTGCCCAGGCTACTCTTGGGTCTAGTTAGGCTATGCAGCAAGGCGCACGGTTTCTTACTGTAGCTTGGTCAAAGCCAGGACGACAAGACCCGCACGCCCCAGATAAACTGGACTTGCACAACACCCCCCCCCCCCCCAATAAGCCCCGAGTAGGTAATGGCATGTAAACCTTAGACCGACTGTTCCACCACCCCAGACTTCTTTAAAACCTAAACCCGAGACGCGAAACGGACCATCCCAGACCAGAAGCTCGGGGGTTCGGGGCTTTGGGGCTTTGGAGAGTTCAGGACTCCAGGCCTTGAGAGTGTTCCGGGCACGGAGGTGAAGGCGTCCAGGGTTTAGTGTTTGCGGTGTAGGGTTTAGGGTTTAGGGTTTAGGGCTTGGGGTATAGGCCCTCTCAGTTCAGGCTACCACCTTGCCATGGACGCCGGCATGCGAGACCCAGGCAAACTGCAAAGCGGGTTGCCCTAAACCCTAAACCCTACACCCTAAACCCTAAACCCTAGACCCTAGACCCTAGACCCTAGACCCTAAACCCTAAACCCTAAACCCTAAAGGTCTGGTTTGCACCCCCCGCAAGCTAGGGATTCATTGAGCTCTCTGAGTTGAGAACCTAGGGTTTCGGGTTTAGGGTTTAGGGGTTTAGGGGTTTAGGGTTTAGGGTTTCTGAACCTTCAAGAGTTGTTCTTGCGACCTGTGCAGACATTTGGGTTTAGGGCCAGCGAAACGGTTCGAGGTTCGAGGACACCGCGGCAAAACTCCGCTCATTCTTTTCTTCGCCCACCTGGATCCACAATTCTATCGTTGCCTCAGGAAGTGCGTTTTTGAATATACACCAAGGAAGTTTGGAAACTGATAACTTTTAAAAAGAGGGGAGTATATATTTTTTAGGTAGGGCTTATATAGGTTGTTTTCTTTTCAACGATGTCCTTCTTTGCACGTGATGCGTGCAGTCCCTTTCGCTTCGCACTTGTCAGCGCCCCTCATGTCAGGATCGGGCGAGAGGGTGTCTCGGGATGAGGTACGAGTATATCCACAATTTGCTGAAGAACCCCGCAGAAAAGACAACTATTCCTCGTTATCAGGGCAATCTTGGAATCATTGTAATTCCTCATCAGATTGCACGGGTTCGCCCCGACAGGCGCGCCGGCGGACTTTGTCGAGTCACTCTTCAAAGAGGTGCCAGTCGCAGGGGGGTGCGAGGCCTAAACCCAAAAGCCTAAACCCTAAACCCTAAACCGCTAAACCCCTAAACCCCTAAACCCCCTAATGGCCTAAACCCCTAAACCCCTAAACCCCTAAACCCCTAAACCCCTAAACCCCTAAACCCCTAAACCCCTAAACCCCTAAACCCCTAAACCCCTAAACCCCCAAACCCCTAAACCCCTAAACCCCTAAACCCCTAAACGCCTAAACCCCTAAACTCCTAAACTCCTAAACCCTAGACCCCGATGTCTCCGATGCGCCTGCCCATGTCGGCCGCTGGCCTATCATATCGAGTCTTCATAACCTGAGCCCGCACATCTACTTGGTACGGATTCGAAGACTCTATGCGGAAAAACCTAGGACCTCTAGTAGGCCCTTCTTCCACGCGTTTAGGTAAGGCTCCCTTAAAAGCCCCGTTAAACAAATTTGCTTATTCCTAGGTTACTCTTGGTTCTAGAACTGTACGCAGAAACAGTCCGTTGCGGTATGTGTTGTATGGAGGCATGGAGGCTGTGGAGGGGGTGTCTGGTGTTTGAGGCTCAACCGTTGCGTCATGTCGGCATGAAGATTTTTGATGTTTCACTAAACCCTAAACCCTATAACACTCTAAACCCAAAACCTAAACCCTAAACCCTAAACATGGGGGTGTAGGACAGAAATGCTGGCGGGGATGAATTTGGTTGAGGCCGGGTTTAGCGTACGTTCAGGATCTGGGATTTAATGGGTTCCCTGCTCCCCCCCCTCAAGACTACCCTCCCTAGGTTCCCCCCATAATGAAGGCCATTTTGGCTATAATCATGAAGCCTAATTAAGGTTATTTTAGGTGGGAACGTAGGGGGTAGCCCTAAACCCTAAACCCTAAACCCCAAACCCGAAACCCTAAACCCTAAACCCTAAACCCTAAACCCTATAGAGAGTGCCCACATGTTGCAGATGCAGATGCGGGGCCTCATGCCGACGCAAGACTCCTACACCAAGGCAATGAGGGTTCAGGGCTCCGGGTTCAAAGCCCAAAAGTACCCCTAAACACCCTAAACCCTAAACCCGAAGCC